GCTGTATATAAAAAGTAGCTGAGAGACAATCAAATTATAGAATGTCTGTTTTCTCTTGTATGTGTCCATGCATCTACTCTCAAACACCATGTTCCTGGTAATGCATAATGTGGCTGACAGGTATATTTAATGCAAGCAAGAAGGTCTATTATTAACTTGAGTGAAGTGATAAAATTTATTTTTTGATACATATACCTTTCTTTGCCCATATTCTTTTAGGGGATGATACTTACTTTGAAATGGAGGAGTGATCAGGAGTTGAGGATTGTGTGAGCATTTAGTTTTTAAACCACTGCTTGCCATTAGTAATCCTTCATTAATTGCTCATATCTTTATCATTATTTATTAAAGCACATTACATCATCTACACTTTTATTGCTGTCAATAAGAAAATTAGAGTGATATTGGATCACTTGTCATTTTCTTTCCATTGAGAGAGGCTTGTGTAGATTTTTTTTGTGAAGGACAAAGACAGAAAGAGTGAGGAGAGTCATAGAATGTTATTACTAGAAGAGTTTATTTTATAACTGAGGAAACAAGTACAGAGGGCTGAATATCCACACGAGTGAACAGAAGCAGTCCTTAGCATTTTCTTACTTTTTTGAGAATTAAGGACTTTGGGTTCAGGATTGGAAGAATTAGATACTGTTTGTTTCTTCACAAGATATTTTGCAATATCACCATCTTTTTTACCTTATCTATCAATATTCAGGTAAGTAACAGTAAAAATAAGTGTTAATTCTGTGGAAGATAGTGACCCCAACATTTTTGGTGTTATTTCATGTAACGTTATATTTTTCTTTAATTTAAAATGTGTGCATGTAAACCACAGTATGGCATTCTTGTTATTGTTTCAGGAAGGTTTTAGGTCACCTTCCCAGATATTTTCTCCCTCTGAAGGAAGTTTTTTATTATTATTATTATTATTGTTTTAAAGATTTTATTTATTTATTTTTAGAGAGAGGGGAAGAGGGGGAGAAAGAGCGAAACATCAATGTGTGGTTGCTCCTGTGTGCCCCCCATCAGGAGCCTGGCTTGCAACCCAGGCATGTGCCCTGACTAGGAATCAAATCAGTGACCCTTTGGTTTGCAGGCCAGCATTCAATCCACATACCACCCAGGGTGGAAGTTGTTCTTTTATTATTATTATTATTATTAATCATAGCCTATATTTCATTACTATTTCTTTTTTAAAGGTTAAGAAATTTAATACCAGGAGACCATAAATAAGTAAAATTGTTTTATTTATAATCCTTGTCATCCACACATTTTTCATAAAGCTTTTTATAAACATTGTTAACCACTGTAACTCTTACAAGAATTAACGGTAACAATAGTTTTTTAATTTAGAGCAAAATCTGGATAATTTAAATGAGTTGAAGTTAGTTGACATGTCTGGCACTCATAGATGAAAACACTGGCTGTCTTGTAGTAATCAATGCATAGCTACAGCTGGTTGAAGGGGACCAAATCCATTGAAGAGGCGATTTGGTTCCATTTTACCAGCTCTAGCAAAGCATTGTGGTGGTGCTAGTTTGGGTTCCAAAACAGTTAAAATGCTTTTTATTTGTAAAATTATAGTTATGGACCTTCCATAAATATTAGATTCTCATATCAGTACTTCAGTCATTGAATGTAGAATTTTCTATTTTGAAAGCACTTTTCCTACTGTTTCCTGCTATAAAAGTACAGAAGTCTTTACCCTTTAACATGTTGTTAATACATTAAAGAATCATCAATGTCATCTTTGTTTTTAACACCTTTACTTAATTCTTAAATGTAGACAATAACCTATTTTAAAACCAACAACATTTAAAAGAACAAATAGATATTAACACATTTCAGAGTAATTTTTTATACTTATCTCTAGGCTGTAAACCAAGTAAGTAACCTAACAGGTTAGGAAAAGAATATTGCTAGTCATACTTTTCTCCTGTCCTGCTTTTTGTAGTATTATACTTGAGGACTAATAGGAAGTTGTTGACAGGGGGTGGAGGAATAGGAGTGGCTTTAAGAAAGTAGCTGTACCCTTTGGTTTATAAATAGACTGCACATGTATTCAGTGTATTACTTGGACTTGAGTTGAAAGGAACTACCATGCATGCCAGCTTATTTTTCTTTGTTTTTACTTATGTAGTAAAATCATAGGTTAGTAATTTAACCCTTTTAAAAGTCTATTTCCTTAAATGAATTCTCTGTACAGATTGCCTAGTTATGCCTCATTATCAGTTTAATAATACATTGAGTTATGGTGGGTTAGCTATAGTCTGTGAGTTTGAGTATTAAAGTATACAATTAAAACTATGTATAGCAAATTTTTGTTATAATATCAGTGTTGCATTTCAATATCAGAAAGAAAAATCTCCTGAAATATATTTGGTTAAAATAAAAGTTTAAGAAATTATAGTTTGCCTGTGAAAGTAAGTGCTCTCAGTGAAATAAAAAGAGTTAAGAAATAGTTACTGTTTTGAACTAAACTGGGAAAAGGTCAACACTAATTCAGGCAGTATTCAAATAATTCTCATATTAAGTTTATTCTGCATCTGTTGGTTAGTCAGTATCATGCTGCTGGTGAAATTAATATAACTATAATTTCTCCATCTTTTATTAGAATGGAAGTGAAACAGGTGTTAAATTGCCTGGACTTAAGTGCTGAAGATAGCAGCAAAACTGGCTTCTATTTTTACTAGTTATATGGGAGCTGTTTAGCAGATCCAGTTGCTCAAGTGTGCTTTTGGATGGCAGTTCAGTTTCATATACTGGCCATATCGGGGCAAGGAGAGGCCATGGAAAAAAAATAGTACAGCATTTGATAATGTCAGCATCTGTTATCCCTGTCAGAGAGACAGTTGAAATGTTTGAGTTACACCAGTGTCAGCAGATGCCCAGAGTTTAGTATGTACTAAGTTAAAAATGAACAGCTGACCTAACTGATGAATGTGACATTTTAGAGTGATTGAAAATACTCTTAGATATGCTAAGTTAAACTTGTAAGCACTAGAATCAGTATGTAATTTTACTTTTTAAAATGAATAACAGATGCTGCCATTTTTTCCCCTAAGGATTACATATACTCTTAATATTATAACCACAAGATTCTTAGTTGCTGGGATGTTTTAAATTAAAAACTTTTATGCCTGTAGAGTAATGAATATAATTTTTCATTATGAAACATGGGTATAGTAGTACCCTTTGAATAGTTTTATAGAGGAACCTCTGCTTTTGAGGTATGTATTTTCAGTTTTTGGTATTTAGGGCACATGTAGTTAAACTTAAATACACATTGCCATTCTTTTGTGGATGATCAGAAAGAAGGGCTTTGCTTAAGTATTAAGCTTTGAACTGTTTTTTTTTTCTTTGAAATATAGAATTATAAAATTACGAGCATTTTATAATTTCTAGTAAGCATGCAATAACTTATATGCTATCATATCTAATGGTCATCTCTCGTTTTTATAGTCTGATAAAATGAAAATCACTTATTAACAATTAACTATCTAGTTATCTTATTAAACAGAAAATTAACTATTGTTAACTTTATAGCCATTTCTGTTTCGCTTGTGAGACACAGAAATTTTAAAATATTAATGCTTTTTGTACATGTCTAAATATTCCAGTTGAAAAAATACTTTTACTAAGAAATGATGAGAATATTAGTATTTATTTTAATGTAAGCCTATCATAATAGCTCAAATGGATGTTGTTATACTTTGTTGAGTGTAATTTTTATTAATATATAAACATAATACAAAATGCATTTTGTATAAAATAGATATATTTTGATATCTCTAATATACAGTAAATAAAATGAGTCCATCATGATTCTAAAAATGGAGTTGTAATTGCATAGTACCATTAAAAGAAGGTTGTTCTTTCTGTGTAAATTGTTTTCTTAACTATAGTGTTTTCATTTTGTGTGCCCCCTTTGGATGAAACAAATTCAAAGTTTAACATAGATAATAAATTAATTTCTTTTAGGTATTTGGCAGTCTGTTACTAAACATGCCCTGTTTTGACTTCAAACTGTGGTCCAGAATTTTGTGATTTTCTTGCATAAATCTTACATTTTAATTTATTCTGAGTACTAACTTAGCGTAAGGACCTGATAAACTTGAGAAAGACAAGGATCACTTTTTTTGTTTGTTTTTTTTGTTTTTGAGGGTTTTGTTTTGAGGGTAGAATTTTACTTAAAGTCTTTTAAAATTATGAGTATGTCTATAGCTTTCATAAGAGAAAACCTAAAACAACAAAACTTGCTTCAGGAATTCCTTTAATATTAATTAAATTATAAATTTATCAAAATATGAAGAATAGCTATTAAAGTGTAAATGAAATCAGCTTTTGTTGTATCTTGTTTATCTTAATAAATCAGACAACTGTACTGTGATATACTTAAATTAAGATCAAATTGTTGAAACAGAAACTAGGTCATGTATATCTGTCATTCTTTGGTGCTAGTAATACTGGGGGTTTTTTGGGATTCAGATTTTAATCATGTGAATACTAGATTTAAAAATGTACAATGTCTTATCTTTTAAATGTAAGATTTAAAAGGAGTTTTATGATAATTTAAAATCTAAGTAGAGCTTTTTTCTTTCACAGAATATAAATCTTAGTGACATTTAGTTTGCATGTATAAGAAGTAGGTGCATTTTTTGATATTATTTCCAAAGGTCATCTGTTTGATTCCAGGTTAACATACCATATGAAGGTCATTCACATAAAAAGAAGCAAGGGCTTCTTTTAGGTGCAGCTTATTTCTCTCTTGGTGGTTTATTGCCTACCAAAAATACATACTTCTTTACATTCCATAGCATTGTATGTTCATATGGGTACATAAAGAAGTATGTACTCTGAGTAGGTATTACTAAGTTATTAGCTGTAAAAACATGAAATGTTTTATTTTCCCATTTGTTAGTAAGACATTCAACTTACTGATGTAGAGCAATGGTAGATCATTTGCAGAGACTATGAAAGACTGAACTTCGTAAAAAATTTACCTGAAGTATTGCATTAATGCTATTTATGATGGTTCCTTGTTGGTGGACATACACTTCTAAACACTGACCAGTTATCTGTTGAACTTTGTCCTGGTTTGGTCCTTTTGGCAAGAGATTCAGAGTCGGTGAAGTTTTAGGGAGTGTATTCAGAAATTGGTAAGATCAACCTAGTGTTTCTTCGGAGTTTTCAGGATGAATTTCTTCTTATTTTGTGGTCTGGTTCTAGATCCTACAAGTAGATAGTAGTTAATTTGGTACAGATTGTTTTTACAGACTAGAAATCTTATTAAAAACTTAAAGTATTAACCAGTTAGGACTTCTTTTGATAATGTCCCTAAAGTTGAAATGACAAGGAGAAAAAACAGATCTTTTTAGAGTAGGAGTAAACTGAATTTTTAAAGATGATAAATTTTTTGTAGTTTTTTTTTAAGGTTACAGATAAGAACTCATGATTATTTGAAAACCTCTTTATCATTCCTTTGTCTTCGTTAGTTACTAACCTGAATTTTACATTTTGGTGCTTCTTTTTGGGTTAAACACAAATTCAAACAGATGTATATAAATACTGAATTTTGGTGAGTTGAGCTCATTTGATCTTTTTTTTTTTAATATAAAAGATAACTACCAAAGTAGTTAACTTTTCCAAAGTCTTACTTAAAAGATCTGAAAGGTGTTAGCACTGGGTTTTAGCTTGATCATTCCTCATTAAAAGAAATAATAGTTGGTAAGTTGCCGTTAATTATTATGGTAGTAAACAGTTAATTTAAAAGAAAACTGTAAAAAGTTCAGATGCGGGAGAGGAGAAAAAAAGTCAGGGAAAGAATTTCTGCAGCCTGTGATAAATAGCTAGTGTAGCTCACAGAAAGCAAATTAGAATGTGGCAGGGGAGAGCCCAGTACTACAGCAGTGTCAGCGCCGCAGTGGCAGAACTTCACCTGGCACGTTCTGGGTTATTTCTGTGGCCAACTCAGAGTATGTATTAAAAAGTATTTTGTGTTCTGCTGTTTCTTAGTTGATTAAACCCTCTAAAAGTTAGTGTTTTTTAAAAGATAGCATACTTTGTTTGTAAGCAAGGTGTAATTTAACTTGGAATGCAAAATCATGTAATCTCAAACAGTAAAGACTAAATCTTTAATGACATGAATGACATTAATGGATTTGTACTTTTTTGAGATCAAGAGTTTATCTGTCATGGCATTTGAACAACATTCCCCTTTTACACTACATAAGCTCTATACTTGAACTGTGAAAGTAGACTGGGACCAAATAGAATTTAACCTAACAGTAAAAAAAAAAGCATATATGTTGAGTCAATAATAGGTAAGCATTCATAAGCATCCATAAAAGTACAGGCCTTACAGTTGCTCTGTTACCTGAAAACTTAGTGTCATGTAGCGTTTGCAGCAGGAAGAGAGATAATGACCTAGAGAGTCACATCAGCAGCAGCCATCTCATCTTGATTGTTCCTTCACTCTATCCGCTGATTCAGCACTTCTTTTCCTGAGCCGGTGAGGTGAAGTAAGAGGGAAGTCAGTGAACACGGAATCTCTCCTTTTAAGATAAATTTGAAAAACAAATGAACAAAAATAAATCAGCCAGCTTTTACCTCTCTCTACCCTTAACCCTTACAAAGAAAAAAAAAAAACAGTAAAATTGAATCAACACTGGCTATTTGATTTGGAATGTTATATTACCAGTATTATACAGATACGAGTACCTTGTATCTGCTGTACAGAAAGTTAAGCAAACAAAGAAGATTGCTCTGTCCCTTATTTCTCAGATGAAATGCTTTAGAAGAGGGGGAAAAGTTGCAGAGTAGGTTAATTTATAACCTAAAAAAGATGAAAAACCAAAAAAAACACACACACCTTATTCCTCCCAAGTAACATAAAACATTCACACTATTTTCCTTTGCCCACCAGAATACATTGGATTCTTCTGCTTCTCAGGAAATAATTCTGCATCTTTCTTGCTGTGAAATTTTTTTGTTTGTTTTTAGTTTCCAGGATTAAATGGTAAATTTATATTGACGCTACCTTGTCATATCCAGAGGTCAATTCTGCAAGCAAGGTCAGGATTTCCACATGGTCACTACAGAGGTTAACTTAAATTCTTCCCTCAGTGAACACAGGCTAAACTGTTACAGCTTTATAGGAGGCTAAGCATTTGAAACATGCACTCCCAGGCAAACAGGCTCTCTTGTGCCTCTCTCTTCCCTGACCATATTTAGTCAACCATAGCAAAAAATAGTCTCTCAGCTGTCGATTGTCGATCCAAAAGCTGAGGAAGCCTCTATCTTGCTTTCTGCCTATTGATTGTTCATCCTGTGGTTCAAACACTGCTTTGCCATTTGTCCTGCCTTTTTTTTTTTAAAGCACTGCCAAATAAAGCGATCTCTCATTTTTCCACTTACATTTCTCAGATTTTCACTGAGCCTGCGCTGAGACCAGGAAAGCCTGATGCGGCTGTCACTATACTTAGCAGCACTGCAGAGAAAATAGGAAAGAGGAAAACTGTTACCCTGGCTAATAGCAAGACAGTCTTTAGACAGATATATAGGTAGACTATCTCTGCTATTAAATTATATTTCATAACCTGATTTTTTTGTTCATTAAAATATTAGGGATAATGACATTTTATATAGCTTGAGGTCTGAGGGGATTTTATAGTGTTATCTTTAGAGCTAGCTAGTTGTTTCTATACATGCTTTTTAAATTTAATGAATAATATTTAAAAGGAAAATATGTAGAAATGGTAAGTAGAACCTGTATATTGAAGGTAGAGATAGATCATTAAGGAAGAAGGGAGTAGTGTGTAAATGAAATCTTTGAAATGCTGCTTAAGATTTAATTCAGCATCAGTCTTAGTTAAGTTTTTTTGTAGTGTTTAAGTGAAAAACAGGGCCAGGAATGCTTTGAGTAATTGTGCACTTCTATTGAAACTACATATACATGTCACTATTAACATGCATTTTATTATTAATTAAATTCTATTTCATTTTCAAATGTGAAGTGCTATTTTTCTGCCTTCTATATTGCCATTTCTTTTTAATTTTTTGAAATATCATTTAGGCATGATCGTTTCACATTTTATCACAGACTAAAATACATATTAACCTATCTATAACTTTGGCACATAGTGTATGTCTCAAAGGAAAAATGCTTTTGCTCTAAATTTTAATAGCATATTCACAACAATTTAACATTAAAATTTATTTATTTTAACCAAGGAGCAAAAATATTATGACATCAAGTCCAACAAACCTGTGGAGATAATATTTAAGATCTTATGAACCTGAAAATGTCCAAGAGGAACCAACTATACCTTGTTCTTAATTCAAATGTATTCTCTTAAGTATTAAGAATCAAGAAAAACTATTATCAATACTCTAAGCTCATTTTCTTTTTTTTTTAAAGATTTTATTTATTTTTAGAGAGAGAGGGAGAGAAACATCAGTGCGTGATTGTCTCTCATGTGCCGGCCACCAGGAACCTGATCCACAACCCAAACCAGGAATTGAACCAGCAACTCTTTGGTTCAGAGGCTGGCACTCAGTCCACTGAGCCACACTAACCAGGGCCTGAGCTCATTTTCTTACAAGGGTAGTATGTCTTTCACACTGTTTTTGTCTTTAACATTTAATACCATAGCAGTTTAATTATTTTGGCTGGCTCTTTTAAAACAGTGCCATAACGCTTCTGTAAGTATTTGGTAATTTTAAAGACTCAGCTTTTCCTAGATATTGCAATAATTTTGTACTTATTGTGAGATGATGACACATGTCTCAGAGTATAAAATAGGTTAATTTTCAGGTTTCTAAATTACCCCATATGAGGGAGAGAAACATTGATATGCGAGAGAGACATCTGTGCTTACCTCTTGCATGCCTCAAACGTGGGACCTGGCCAACAACCCAGGCATGGGCCCTGACTGACATGGGCCCTCTTTTTATTCCAGCTAATACTTATATAATGTATTAAGTGGTACTCTTTTAATGTATTAAAAGCTACTTTTCTAAGCCCTTTTTAATTTTTGTAACAACCCTATGACATAGTATTTGTGACTCTTCTAACATTTTATAGATGAGGAAACTGAGGTATAGAAGTTAAGTATTATCCACTCAGGTCACCAGCCATTTAGTTTGCTAGTGCCAGAATTTGGACCCAGGTGGTTTGGCTGCCGATTTCCCAGCTCTTCACCATTTTGCCTTGCCGCTGCTCTGGTTTCTAATAATGAAATCAGTGGTAATCAGTGATCACCACTCTTTGGGACAAGAATATACACCAAAAATACAGTGTTGTTAAAACCTCTCCTTCAGTATATTCAGAAAGGTGATTGTTTGTTTGACTGTTTATTCGTTCCATTCAACAAAACTTTGAGCTCCTTATATTAGGTATACAAAGGGGATATAAAGATAAAATGAGTTTCCATGCTTTATAGCAAAGAAGGAGAAATAGGATTCACTGGTCATTTAAGAGATAATTTTAGTTTTCTTTAGTTTAATAATGATCAAGTTACTCACCTGTACAACTCTTCTGCAGTCTGTATTGTCATTGTATATGTCTTTCTTATTTTGAACTAAATTCTACTATACTATCAACTTCCTAGTTAATAAATTTAAGCTAAGTTAATGAACTTTTTAATTATAGTATCTGTCAAAAAAGAATTTGTGAGAACAAAAAAAGCACAGCAAAAACAGAATTAAAAAAAAATACATTTAAGTAACCCTGGCTGGTGTGGCTTAGTTGGTTGGGTATCATCCTGCAAACCAAAGGTCACCAGTTTGTTTCCCAGTCAGGGCACATGCCTGGGTTGCAGGCCAGGTCCCTGGTCAGGGTATGTACGAGAGGCAGCTTATCAATGTTTCCCTCTCACATCGATATTTCTCTCCTTCTCTTTCTCCCTTCTTTTCCCTCTCTCTACAATCAATAAAAGGAAAAAAACACATTTAAGTAATGCCTATACCCTGTAGTTCTTTCATATATTTCTCTAACAAAAACCACCTATAATCATTTATTAAAGTGATTACTATGTATAGCATTTTGGTTTATATTCTCCTAGACTTGTCTGCATTCATTCAGATAAGGGTATGCATTGAACAAAAATGTGTTGAGATTGTTACATGCTAGCCTGCTTTTAACATGCCCAACAGAACTTCTGCTTGGAATTAATCAACTTTGTTAATAAGTTCCTTTATGGATTCTGTACTAACATGCTTTAACTGTTGTTTTGCAGATTGTTCATTAATTTAGCAAGCATTTATTGAACACCTTGTATGTGCTATAGTGCTATTCTAGTGTCTTTTATATTAAGTAATACTAATGTGTAAGGCCTTTATAGTTTAACTCCTATTGTTTATTTAGGAAAATGTTGCCTATTTCTTCTGAAGATAGATTGCAAAGAATGGCAGGCCCTAAAAATGGACCCAGAACCAGTTGACTATCACATACCACTGCAGACAGCTGCTTGTCCCCTCTGCTTCTTAGAACTCATTTGTTCATCATTCAGCAGACGTTTGAGTATTACCATGTGCCAGGGATTATGCTAGGCTCCACTATTAGTTGTTCTGGAACTTAATGCTTCTTTGGCACTGTTCACAAATGCCTGCTTAACTGGTAGTAAGATCTTATCTTAAAACCATCCATGTCCTTAACCTCTTGTGAAACAACCAGATTGAAATTAAAAAAGAGTGTTTGAGCATTAGGGAAAAATATCTGAATATCTCAATATTTTATGTACTCTGTTCCAAAGGTGAGAGTCTGTTGGCTTGATAAAATGACTGATTTATCGAGCTGGTACCACTCTCATCCTGGAAATTCTATGGACCTCAGTGCTTGCAGCATAATACCAGTCTCTTCTTAACTTCAGGAGCTGCAGGGAACAGCCTGCAACTGGATCTTCATGGTTATATTGTGGATTCTCATGATTGTTTACCCCATGGACAAAAAGGAGACAAGCTACTCATAGCTGATCTTAATGTGAGGGTGTGGGTATCACTTTCCCTTAGCTCACCTTGCAGCTTCGTAAGATCAGCTCTTCTCTTGAAGCTTTGTATTATTTGTTTTTGTTTGTCTGGTTTTTGCAGGGTGGGTGTTAGGAAGGTCAGGAATTAATATTAATTAGCACCTTTCTAATTAAGATTAGAGGGTTATAGTTTTCTATTACAATTAATACACCCCAAATCTCTATTGTAGGATAATTGCAACTTAATTTGTGTTGAGACTCCATCCTGAAGGAGATGGAGCACATAACTTTCCACTTTTTAAGTGTAGGCTGTACATAGTTACTTCTTTCCCATGAGTATATAGTATAGTATTCTGTAGTACAGAAAGAGGGAAAAAGGATTACTATACAGTGGAGAAACCTGACAAACACTGCCTCAGCCGGGTTGTCAAAGTGAATGTCAATAGCAATAAATCATGTTGATAATATACATCCTTGATGTGATGTGATGAAATGGCGCTTTACCTTTGTGGCCTTCCTTCCCAAAACTTAGAACCCCAGAGTAATAATGTGAAAAACATCCAATGAATTGCAACTGAGGAACATTCTGCAAATATCTGATTAGTACTCTTTAACTGTCAAAGTAATCAAAAACAAGGAAGATCTAAGAAACTGTCACAGCCAAGGGGAGCCTAAGGAGACATGACAATAATGTGTCCTGGAGCAGAAAATGTACATTCAATGGACTTTAGTTAATAATACTCGTGGTCGGTTTATTATTTATAACAAACGTAGCATGCTAATGTAAAATGTTAATAGTAGGGGTGAGGAACTTTCTGTATTATCTCTACAATTTTCTGTAAATGTAAAATGGTTCTAAAATAAAAAGTTTATGTAAAAACAGCAACCACAAAAATTAATCTGCCCATTCCTGGCTAGTGGACATTTGACTTTTGCATTCACTTTGATCGGGGGCTGTCTGCAATGTTTCTCCTCATCTTATACCACCAGTTAATCAGGAGTTGATTTTGCCGAGTTATCAACAAAATATTAAGTTTAGTCTCATGTACTTTTAAAAGCATTTTAAGGTGAGAAACTGTATTTTAGATCATTTTTATGAGGACCAGTCTTAAAAAGATTTAGTTATTTAAAAGGAAGCCTTTAAAATTTGAATGCTGATAATTTTGAATTTGTGACAGTTGTGAAAG